CTTATCGTGTGGAAGCCTCATACAAAACCCTGTGGGGAGGGAACTTATCTTGGGCTGGGTGCCCGAGAAGGAGCCCAAAACAGGTCTCCGAAAGCCTGTGATGCCCAAGGAGGTGCCCTTGAGGGAAAACAGTAACAGGGTGAGGGCAGAAGGACTGGCCGGAGCAGGGGCCAGGGAGGAGAGGGGTCGTGGGGGAGACTCCCCTCCCATTGGCCTCGTCCACGGGCATCTGTGGAGCATGACCAATCCCACCTTGAGGAGAGAGGGCTGGCCTTCAGCATCCCCAACATCAGACAGTTACCAGGAGCCCTGATGACAAGGGGAGCAGTGGCAGGAGAGTCAGCCCCTGCCCTCTGGGACCAGGTGATCACCAGCCAAAGGCTCCAGAGGAGGTGGAGGCACAGCCATTACCACGCACTCTGGCAGTGCCGGGGGCCGGATATCCTGGCAGCAGGGCCCTGTGCAGAGACGCACGGTGGCCATAATGCACTATTGTTGGCCAGTGCCGCAGATGAGGATGCCTGAGACCTGGGGTGGTTCTCCAGGTTCTGGCCACATGTGCTCAAGGTCACAGAGCTACAGAGTGCAGAAATCTGTACCACTCGGCAAAAACACCCTCCCATGATGATCTGCACCCCGAAGGGCAGAGCCCATGTACCTCTGTTTCTTTGGCACTCACAGGGCTGACTGGGTGCTGAGATACACTTGGGGTGGCTGGGTCCCTGAGCTCTGGGGCCTTGGGGTGGCATGTCTCGGTGAGGCTGGAGTTTAGCTTGTACCCCACTTGGGGGCTGGGGACCGCCCTGCTCTCGACAGCTGCCTGGACTCCAAGAGCTGTCAGCGGCCTGCTCGCTGTGCACTCGCTTGGGTGGGGTGGGCCCCCTGCCAGGCCGCACTGCTGGGGAAGAGGAATGCCATTCATCAGGGAGATAAGGCGGCTGATGAGAGACGGGCCTCAGTGCAGCTGTTCCTCAGCAGCGGCTGCAACGGATGCTGGCGAAGCGGAGGGGTGGGCAGAAGGGGGAAACCCATTTTGAGATAAAAAATGACGGTGCTCCTGGGGGGTGATGGAGAACACATCTCCAATCGAGGCCTGGCACGAGTATAGGCTTAGACCCCAGGCCTTCCTCACAAATATCTATGCTGACAAATCACACATGTGCTTCTGTCAGGTTCACTACTGAGTGAGCCGGGGCTCGCCTATCAGCTCTCTCGGCAAGAAACACCCACTTGGGGTATGTAGAGCACCCAGAAAAACTCTCTCCCCTAACCAATTGCTCAGGGTCAAGAGAAGCCAAAACTCCTGGCAGGGCTATACCCCAAACCACTCACTTCTGTCCCCCAGGGTGCTCAGGGGCCATGACTTTAGGGGCATCAAGCCCCTTTTCTGCTGCTTCCCTAGGTCGCCCCCAAAGTTAGGCTATATAGGGGGTGGAATTTTCCAGACGGGGAGTAGCTGGGATGGATGGTTCTTTATTTTATCTTGGGTTGTTTCTTTGTTGAAAGGGTTATGAGAAGGGACCCTGAAGGTTTCCTGGAGAGAGTTGCTGTGTTTGTAGGTAAAGAACCGGGCCCCCCGGTGGGTTCATGGACAAGGCGAGAGATCCTAATAGTCTTTCCTGATGTGCTCCCGTCCCTCTCCAGCTCATTCCCTTCCTCTCTGACCACACTGCGGGGTGCCCACAACCAGGGCTCCCCAGCCTGTGCTCTGCGGTGTACTGCCCCATCCTGGCTTCTGGGCTGGCTTTTACTCTTCCTCACTGGGTCAGCTCAGGGAGGGGTGTATAGAGAGAGTCTAAAAAGTATCTATAAAAGTATCTTTGTAAAAAAATCTAAAACAAAGGTGGCAGCTTTGACAAGGGGTTGTGCACACAGTAACACAGTTCATGCTTGTTAAGCACAGAATGTGTGCGAGGCAATTTTTGTCTCTTTTAAGAGTTTCACTTTAATTCTGACAACTTCTTTTGAAGTAGATGCTCAGACAGGGACACAGAGAGGTTGAGTAATCTCTCTAGTGTCACACAGCAGAGCCGGGTACCCTGGCTCCAGAGTAAGCCCTGCTAACCATCCCAGTACAGGGAGTTTGTTCTATTTACTATGGACTTTTCCTAGGCTTGAAATAGGCAGGACTTGTTTTTAAAGGCTCTCAAGTAAATTAGGCAAAATGTTAGTGTTTGCAAAATTGGTGTGTTCAACTCTATATGATTAGAATTATTCCAAACTTTAAACAAATAAATATTGGTATGGCTTCTTCTTGGAAGCCTTTGGCACCCCCCTGCAGCCCCCTGCTCTAAACCCTCCTTGCTTCTCTTATTCTCCAGCCTGGCCTTCTCCACCACATCTGAGCTGATGATTATCTCCTGTTGTTCCTCGCTCTGGGCTGTGAACTCCACCATGCAAGGGGTGATGCAGGATTCATCTCTGCATGTCCAGGCCTGGCTTCTTGTGAGGAAGCTACTGCCTCTGGGAAGTGTAAGCTCTGCACAGCTGCTGAGGTGAGAAACTACACCCGGAGCCCATACATTGTTCTGCATGTCTGTTACCTCCATAAAAAAAATTGTTAAGCTAAATGGAGCCATGTGGGGGGCCCCTGTGGATGAGGCCAGAGCAGTTGATGGAAGAGGCTACAGAGGCGGGGGAGCAAAGTGCCCCCAGCTGCCCAGCGGGGACACATGGCGACGATCTTTAGAGCATTACCCAGTCTGGTTCCATCATAAACACTCCCAGCTGCACCTTCCTCCATGCATGGGATCTTCTTCAACAGGATCTTCACTGCTTGCAGCTCAGCTCATGCGCCCATCAATGAAGTACAGGGTGGCTTTCAAGGAGGCCATCTGAGTTCCACCCACCGTGTCACAACCCATGGCTGCTGGGTGGGCAGCTGCCAGAAGCACCTGCTGCCACTGGGCTCTCAATGCAGCCCAACTGCATACCCAACTGGCCTTTGATGCTCTTGTTTCAAGAAGTTGATTACACAAGCCATTTCCATGTTGTCGATGCCCCAGCAGATGTCACAGCTTTCCTGCTGTCCCTGGCACCAGGACTTCCTATGGGTCCCATGGTACCACTGCTGTTTAAGGTCTTCAGTGAGCCCACCCCTGCTCTTAGGGTCTAGTGTCCACCTTCTGTGTTCCTTCCCTGCACAATGGTCCTGACAACGAACCTCAGATGTTTTTCCATGACCATGGACTTAAAGTCTTCTCTATACAGCTTGACTCTTGATTTTCTGCTTAGCAGCATATGTTGTAAATCATTTCCCATCATGCAAATGGAGAAGCTTCTTTATTTTTAGCTGTATCCCCTTGGTGACCCCACCCCAATGGATTGAACCAATCATCTACAGATGGAGGATTTCTCACTTCTAGCAGGTGAACATTTCTAAAAATGAAACCAATCTTAGCATTCACCCAGTGGGTCACCTTAATTGTCTGCCACCGAGTTGGAATGTAATGGGGTGGATACAAGTGCGTCTAAGAATTTCACACACCATGGAGTTGGGTGCAAAAACAGTGCTGGCTTGTGTCTTCTTTCTAGGAGATGATTCTGGCTGCAACTAAGTGATGTCTAAATCAATGAAGAAGATGCTTTGTTCACATCTCTGAGATGGGTCAGTCATAATGGAAAGGGAATCAGAGGCTCCGCTTCCTCAAGGCCCTGTGCACTTTGTGTCCTTAAGAGCAGGAGTGGATTTGTGTCTTCACATTGCACCTCCATGTCATCAGTGAACCATCCCAGCCCCCTGGGTCACACCTTCACACCTACAAGAAAGCCCCCCTTTCTTGTGTTGCTTTTAAGAAGTCGAGTGAACTTCCCAGAATCCCCTGGCAGCAGGGCTCTTGGTCTCACTGGTCAGTACTGCACCTCACACCCTGACATAAAGACATCAGCAGGAACAGAATGCCCACAACTGGCTGAAGCAAAGCAAGATCGTGGCCTGGCACCAGGGAGGGAGCTCTGTTAAGTGGAATTAATGCTACCAGGCATCCGAACAGACTCGGGATTTGGGAGGCAAAGGCAGAAGGCAGGTGACCACAGTGTACAGCACACCTTCTGACGCCTTGATTTTCACAGAGCGCCTGTATTGGTCCTTTAAAGAACTGGCTCATAGGATTACATTTAAGAGAACAAATTAAGTACATTTATGATGACATCTGGTGTAAATTTTTAAATGCACTGATAACTCTTTAAATCTATTGCAAGACTTTAATGAGGTCCTGTGCTGCAAAGAACGCTGACCTAGGATCAATAAACCAGAGCTGCAGGCTGTGCCACTTACGCCAGGCCTCGGCACCCTTCTCCAGAGTCCCAGGCCTCTGGCCTCTCCTGAGTGACAATGGCAGCTTGAAGGGAATGGAGATGTCAGGCAGGAGGAAAAGAGAAACGGCTTGGCAGCGTGACCTGGCCTAGAATCCCAGCTCCAACTCTGTCATAAAGGGCAGGTTTTGGGTCTGTTTCCTCAATGGCAAAATGGGGATAAAAATTTGCCATTTGTTGAACCTTTAAAAAGTGTCATTTATAGGGCCTCCCCTGGTGGGGCAGCAGTTGAACGCTGGGCTGCGAAGCTGCTCGCAGCCTCTGCAGCGCCAGTTTGAACCCCGGCCCTCAGGGAGAGTCCCACATGGCACGACAGACCTCTCCTGTGGCGCCCGCTGTTCCCCTCAGCAGTGTATTTCATCAGTCTGCCTGTTCTGCTCCCTGCTCTGGTTCTGGTGAATTCTCTCACCCTCCCGCACTTCTGACTATATCCAGTGCTTGTATAAATAAATCTTTATAAAAAAAAGTGTCATTTATAGAGATATAATTTGCCTAAAATAATGCAGCCATCTAAAACCAACATTCTGATGGATTTTTCCAGCCTCTGTAGATACACTCATCATCCCAGAAGTTACCTAGTTCTCCTCCACACTCAACCCCCATTTCCTTGGTCCTAGGCAACCACTATTCTTCCAGCAACTGTACATTCATTTTGCCTGTTCTAGAATTCTGTATGAATGGAATAACAAAGTATACACATGTCTAGCTTCTTGTACTCAGCACCATGTCTCTGACATTCATCTGTCATGTGCTTTGAAAGATGGACTGGCAGGAAGCTCGAGTGACCCCTGCCTCCTGGTGTCCAGACCCCGAGTATGGGCAGGCTCTGTGACTTGCTTCTAGAATCCGGCAGAGGTGATGGGCTATCACTCCATGGTCATGTTATGTGAGGTGAGTCTCCATCATGCCCACAGACTTGCTCTTTCTCCCTATGCTTGTTTTAAAGAAGCAAGCAGCCATATTGTGAGAGTGTCTCTGGGGAGTGACATGTGACAAGGAACTGCAGGTAACTGCTAGGGCTGAGGGTGATCTGACCCATACGCAGTGAGAAGCCAGGGAAATTACAGTCATGGAAAATGAATTCTGCCAACAGCTGGCATGAGCTTGGAAGGAGTCCCAAGGCAGTCAAGCCATCAGACAAAAACATCTTGATTCTAGTCTTGCAGAATCTTAATCTAGTCTTGTTATCTTAATAAGCTTGTGGTGATGTATTACTCAGCATAGAAAACAAATCAGCTGTCTGTTCCTTCTGATCACGCAGAAGCACTTCACTATTCTTTATCCACCACATATACTTTCTCCATTCCTTCACCAGCTGATGGACATTTAGGGAGCCTCCAGTTTGGGGTAAAGATGAATAAAGTTGTCACTTCATAGACATATTTCATTTCTCTTGGGAAAAGAAACTGCCAAATGATTTTCCAAAGATGCTGTAGTACTTCACACTCCCACCAGCAGTACCCAAGAGTTCCTATGACTCCACAGCCTTGCCAATGGTTTCCAAGGTTAATCATTTTAAATATGATAGCTTGTTATAGTCTTATTTGCATTTCTCTGATGATTGATGATGCTTGGCATCACATACTGTGCCTATTGGCCCTGCTTTGTCTACCTTCTTTTCTCAAGTGCCTGTTTAAATCTTAACATATTGTCATCCAGTTGGCTTGTTTTAGGAAAGCAATACCTATGTACAGTGATATTATTTTTAGGATCACTTAAGAGGGCCTCCCTGGTGGCAAAGGGGTTAAAGTTTCAGTGCTATCAAGCTATTGCCAGCCACTGTGGCCCAAGTTTGATCCCTGGCCAGGGATCTAACCCACATGGCACAGCAGACCTCTCCTGTCTCACCCGCTGCTCCCCTCAGCAGTGTATTTCAGTAGACCTGCCTGTTCTGCTCCCCACTCTGTGTCTAATGAATTCTCTCACCCCCCCCTCCAACACACACACCTCTGGGTTACACCTCAGCTCTCATATGTATCCATAAATAACAATCTTTTAAAATCACTTAAGAGAGAAAATTCTATGAGATAAATTCTAAGACATAAAATTCTACATAGGCTATTGTTAATAATAGGATCCAAATCCTTGTCTTGAAGGAGAGAAGGAGGAGAGGGGGGTGCTGAATAATCAGAAGGGATGAAGCAGGAATTCAAGAGCCCCCAGGATTTGAGCTGGAAGACTTCATGGGCATGAAGTATTGCCCAGGTTAGGGAGGATGGTGAGTTTTGGCTTAGAGGATGTTGAGGTTCAAGGGAGAGCTGGCAGCCAGGTGGACCTTAAACTAGGGTGAACTCTGAGGGCCCAAGCTCTGCCAGACTTTCCATCCAAAAGGTTACAGACACCTCTATTTAAAGCAGCAGAGACTTCAAGCATTGTGTTGCAATCTGCCTTTTACCAGTGCCTGTGTTAGGCCTGCAGTTACTGGGGTGGGGGCTGGAGGACACAGCTAAGCATGTGTGAGGGACATTGTAGGAATCTTGGAACCACTCTCTATCAGAGATGCTAAAATTAGTACATCTCCCTCCTGCTTCTCCTCCTGCCCAACTCTAATTACTCACCTTTGCCCCAAGCTGCATTCCTGGGTTCTAAACACCATTGCCTCAAGGAGCCTCTGACAGTCAGTTTTCTAAAACCTCTAGAGAAGGATAAGGGCATTGATTGTGCCCAGCAAGCATCTCGAAATCTTCCCCTCAAAGGAAAAAGTCTTTTAAGGGCTTTTCTGTTAATAAATGAGACGTGTTTCCTTAAAGAAAAAATGAAATAGAATGGCAAGGTACAAAGGATGAAAGATGCAATCATCCCAAGATTCAAAGCTCATAGTTACATCCCATCGATTTCTTCCCATAGTTTCAGTATATACACATACATATAAAAGCATATATTTCTACATAAAATGGGGTTATACATAAACACCATTTGTAATCTTATTTTTACTGGGATAGTTACATGCCAAAATGTAAACATCTAGACCTTTTGATTGACTATCTTGTATTCTAAAGTTGGTGACCATTTAGATTCATAAAAATTATTACCAAAGCCCTAGGAAGAATGCCTCTATACCTACATATTTTTGTGAGTTCCTGACTTTTTCCTCACCAAAAGACTTTAGGAGGGTATTTATTGGGATCAAGATTATGAATATTAAAGTTTATATTGCCCTCCAGGAAACATGCATTATCACCTTTATCAATTGTTTATTGAAAGGTCACTTTACTCTCAACAATATTAAGTCAATCTTTTTTTCATGAGAGTTGATTACTTCTAGTATGTGTGTATACACACACACTAATACATATATGTATACATACTGTGTGTGCATACACATGTTTGCATAACATGTATACATACATGTTACATACATATTTTATATATTATATATTGTTCCTCTTGGTGGTATTTTTCTTGAGAACCCAGATTAATGCAGACATTGAGGTGATAAACTTGAGAACAAAATGTCAACATGCTAAGGACAGTGGGGCAGAAAGGTAAGAAAAGTCTAGAAACTTAATGGCAAATTCTCTCACTGTACCCAATCTGGAAACACCTACGTTAAACTTTTATTATGTGAGAAAAAGAAATGTCTGTATTGTCTACATTGCTAGGCCGGGTTCTCTGTTACATGTAGTGAAAACATTCCTGACCCTCTCAATTACCTTATATTTCTGAGCCTCATTTCCCCAGTTACACAAGGAGATTAAGATAGGGAAGGGAATGGCCTCCTGGATTTGGGATTCTGAGTGAGGGGCTTCACAGCAGGCAGAGGAGTGAATGCCTAAGGGCGTGGTCATGGCCAGATCACCTTGAAATCAGCATTGCTACCGACTTAGACATGTCACTTTTACCTTGCTGTGTATCAGTTCCTTGTTGGTCAAGTGTGGACCATAATAGTTCTATTTAATAGTTGCTGGAAGATGAAATAAATGAATCCATGAAAGGCACTTAGGACATTGCCTGGCACATAGAAAAATGCTCAATAAATGCTCATCATGGATCAGAATTGGACACAGGTCAGACCATTGGGAGTTTGGAGTCTAACTTAGAAGTCCAGAAACACATACCCGAAGAGACATGACCTGGACACTTGAAATGCATTCAAGATTAAAAAAGGGAAGAATCCTTCAACTTTTTTCATTCTAAAGTAAACTTAACTCCTCATTATCCTTAGAGAAAAGAGGTGAAAAAACATAACGGCCTTCAAGGATGATTTAGATAAATAGGGGATGAAAAAACCATAATACTATGATAACAAAAGGAGGCAGGCATTTCGAGGGCCACCTCAGGATTTGACATTAATTATAAAAATATCAAATAGTAAAAGAGAATACTTAATAACATTATTTACTTTAAAGTTTTAACGCCTCTTCATGAAAGCATACCCCTCTGCAAGGAAAGGGTAATTACTATGTGAACTTCTTTCCAAACCTGACTTCCTTTTGAGCCTCACCTCTTAGTAATGGGCAGATTCTCATTGCACAGATGAGAGACCAAGGGTTTATTGTGGGTTCATGTGAGATGATGCAAGTCAACACACTTTCAACTTTCCTAAAAGTTTTTTTAAAAAATGTGCAAGCTTGCTTGTCACCACGTGGTGGCTCAGAAATCATTTTTCTAGTGAAGGATGGTGACTGATGCTCCCCACTATACCCCAGACCCCCCAAGAAGGGCCTGTTAAGCCCAGTTTTTTGCAGACACCTGGGCTGCTCCTCAGGGAACTCCCTTTGGGTCTCCAAACTCTCTGTCACTGGGACAGGCAGGTTATGAAGGATCTGCTCTGGATCCACCCCACCAAACCACCTGCCGGACTGGTGAGCACCTGCGACCCTTCAGGAATGTAAATGCCCAGTCCTGGAGCCTGTTGGTGCAGATAAAAGTGCATGGGTGGGTAGGAATCTTGCTTTTCTCCCCTCTGAGTTCTCAGATTCCTGGAGCATGAATCTCTCTCCAACTGCCTGACACCTGAGGCCCATCCTTAGGGAGCCTCGTTTATTCAGGGAGGTGCTTATGGAGCCAGGCTGAACTGTTTTGGAGTTGTCCTTATGTGGGAAGGGGATCCTTGCTTTCCTGAAGCAAGGCTCACAGTCATGACAATTAGTTACACATGGTGGGTGGGAGGTGTTTCCAGGATGCCCTGAAGGGCAGAGAATGTGAACCTGCTTCTGTTTCTTCTGCAGAAACAGCAGTGGGGCCATCAGTCAGACCTGGAGTCAAAGGGTTTAGAACACAAGCCCTGTATAGTCAGCCTGACTGCCTGGGTTCAAATCCCAGTGCAGCCACTTCCTAACTCTGGGATCCCAGGCAAATTGTTTTCATGTGATCTAGGTTCCTTTTGGGAAATGAAGCAAATAATCCTTCTTCATAAAGAGGATTTAATTCAGTTCATGAGAAATGGCTAACATCTAGTTAGCAAACACTGCGTTTTGCTGTTTTTACAATCTGTCTTATGATTTTGAGCAAGTCTTTAATCTACCCATGCCTCAGTTTCCCTATTTATATAATGGGAATAAAAACACATGTTTTGAACTCCAATTTCATAAAGGTTGTCATCTTCTGTAGGACAATTTTCACTTCTGTTGGCAAATAGAGCAGACTTGAATGTGCCTCAAGTCAGAGGTCACAAACAAGTAGCCTGGATAAAATACAACCCTCGGAAGTAGAAAGAGTCAGTGATTTTAGACATACTTTACAGATGAGGTTTAGAGCAGTTAATAACTTGCCTGAATTTGCAGAGCCAGAATTTGAACTATGATGGTCTGGATTCAGCGTCCACAGTCTTAAGCAACGCACTCAAGTATTGAGAAACGGCAATTGACATTTAGCTCCTACATCTGAGAGACATTAGGGAGTGGTGGGGACTACAGTGAACTAGACACCATCCTCTAACTAAAGGAATCCACTTATGAATGTTTCCTGCTCCAACTTTCTCCTCTATAAAATTGGCACGATAATTATACTTAACTCGCAGGGTAATCCTGAAGATGAAACTAGTTAACATGCCAAGTGTATAGAACAGTCATGCAGTGCTTAACAGTGGAGATATGTCTGAGAAATGTCTCACTAGGTGATTTTGTTGTGCAAATGTTACCAAGGTAATTAAATGAATCTAGATGGCACAGGCACTACACACCTAGGCTGTACGGTATAGTCTGTTGTGACAGAACATTGTACACTTAACACTACATGTAAGCTGTTGCTATTGTTACTATTTGAGGGATGGCTTGTCTTAAAGATTCATAATGCCCACTTTAATATGGGCACACGACTGAGGAGCAAGTTTGGACAACATCACTCAGGCCTTTTCCTCCTCCTTCTGAGCAATGCTGGGCTATGGAGGGTTTGGAAGAAGAACCAAGGTCTCCAGACACAAGCCACGAGTTTCACGCATCAGCGGCAGTGTCCCGAGCTGGCTGCTGCAGTCCCTTAGTGAGCTCATGGTTACCAGCGGCCTCTAGGCTGCAAAGAATGTGAGGTGCAACGGGCAGCCTTCCAGGGGCCCAAGAAGGAAAGCCTCATCCTTTCAGGATGTCTCAGGCTTCAGATAAAACCCTTCCTATATTCCAGCTCATAGCTGGCAGGCGCAGACGGCAATGACTGATTGCAACGGGTGAGCTGTCAGAAAGATGTGTGTGTGAACCAAGCGCCAGCTAGCCAAGGCAAGGCATGTATTCAGGAGGCTGCTGGGAAGACCGTTGACTGCACAATGTGTTGTTGTGTACCTACCATGTACTCGGTTCTGGGCCAGCCAGGCAGTCAGGAGTTGGTGAAGCTGGTAATAGTAGCAATATTAGCAGTTCACCTGTACTTTCTGCTTCTGAGCACTGAGGGTCATTACCCTGTGATACAAGAAGGTTTCCTAGGTTTAATGATTGGTAGTAGACTAGATTTCTTCAGAGTTATAAAGTATAGCAGATACATGTTGTTTAATTTAAACTTATTTCCTTTTTTTTTTTTTTTCTAGGTAACCAGCTGGACTACATTTCCCAGTAGCCCTGGGGTTGGGTGCAACCATGTGATTGAGTTCTGGCCAGTGGAATCCTGGAGATGATGATGGACTTCCTCTGGCCAACCAACCCCATAAACATCTTTCCAAGCAACACTTTACCCTCTTCCTCATTGGTTCTAAGATGCAGGTAGTCTGCAGAGGATTCTGAGGGCATAGGAATAATGGAGCCACAAGATGAAAGGAGGTTGATGGACTACTGAGTTAACTAACTCTTCTAAAGTTCTGCCACATTGGACTCTTAAGTGAGTGAGAAATAGGCTGCAGTTGTATTAGGCCACCAAGTTGGCTTTTCCACCATGGTCAGCCTGCTGCAATATGTCCTCGCTTAATGTTGCTGATAGGTCCTTGGAAACTGCAACTTTAGGTGACATGACCTAACCAGCCTGACCTTAGCCAACTGGTATAAACAAGAGGTGAGCTCCTAGGGGTACATCTGGCCACCAAACATCACCAAACTTCTAAATGAACACCCCACATACTTCTAATATCAAAACAATCATTTATAGTCACTAATTCACTCATTTTCCAGCCCACTTACAGTAGTATAGGGCCAGATCTTATCTCAGCAGCTCAGGGCACAAAGTGGGAATCCACCTTGAATTCCCTGGAGAGAATATCCTTTCATCACAAGGCATAACACACACACACACACACACACACCAATTGTGCACATGACATGTACATTTTGGGGTGGAGGGAGGAAACTAACTGAGAAAACCCACGAAGTCCTGGAGGAAAGCTCAGACTCTACACAGGCAGTGGCAGGGAACTTATTTAGCTTGTCTTTTCAATATTGAAATAAAACAACTTTGAATGAAACACTGACTCGGAAGGACCCAAGGTTCACATAACAGCAGAACTTGGGCTTTAGCGGCATTTTGCCACTACATTTGTAGTTTTTCCTGTCCCTTTCCAAACAAGTAGGCCAAGTCCCTTATGCTTGTAGGGCCTTTAGATTTTACAAAGCACTTGGACAAATGATGGGCTAGGCCCTTTCTCCACCCCACTGACCAATGGGCTGTGACTATTACCCTCTGTGTGGGGCTTTCAGATGGAGGAAGGTATCCGGGTGAACTGCAGCTCTGGTACCCATGAACTCAGCCCTTCTCAACTATTCTGGGAGAAAATTAAGTCCTGAATTCAAAGGCATTCCTTGGATGTAGTGAATTAGCTTCTCTCCTGTCCATCTGTAATGGTACATGATATATACCTCATCTGGGAGAACTTTAAAATAGTCACATCATTCTCTGGGTTCTGTGTTTCAGATAAGGGTTCCTAAATACAACCCAGTTCCACTCTCTAAGCTTTGGTTTTTCAACTATAAAACCAAGGGTCAGATCAGGTGATCTTGGAGTTTCTTACCAGCTATAATTTGCTATAATCTCACTTTAAAAAGCAGGATTTGGGGCCTAAGCTGAATCAGACACGTTCCCACATTATTTCATTGAATTACAAAATGAAAAGGGATTTAAATTAGGTGGGGGGGGGTGATAAAAAGAGCATCTAGAATCCCCAGCATGCAAAGTTGTATTCAGTCACCTTGAAGTGAGCGATAAGCTGATGCAGAGCGTGACTTCACCTGCAGGTTCACTGAGCCTGTGCTCTAGTTAGCAGGACAAGAACCTCACAGACAGACTCAAAAAATGCCCTGGACAGCAGAGCCTGGCGTCTAGAGGACAAGAGGTGAGCAGAAAGTAGGGCCACGCTTGTCTCCCCCTCACCCAGCCCTGCAGTCCACTCAGAACTCTGCTCTGCAATAGACAAAACCGCCTCAGGAACACTCGCCCTGTTCCAGGCCCTGGTTGGGTGCTCTGCCGTCACACTGCAGTTAGTTTTCCCAGGCACTCTGGCAGGAGGGCATGATTCTCCCTGTTTAAAAAGGAGTCCCAGAGGCACAGTGATTATGCTGTTATCCAAGGTCCCTACATTGTTGATTAGTCCCAGAGCCATGCTGCTTGGGCAGGTCTGTGTGGGTGCACAGCCTGCATTCCTTCCACTTGCCTCTGTCCTCCTGGAAGGACAGTTCTGTCCCCTCTGCCTCACTTCTCCAGCCCTCAATGGAAAGATGCCCCTTGACTGTCAAGTATGGCAGGGTCAGAGCCGGGGAAAGCTCAGAGTGCAGGGCACCTCGGGCTGAGAGAGCTCACGCTGAGCAGAGGGGTGCAGCAGGGTGGTGGCAGCTGTGGCAGCAGTGCCCTCCAGACACTAGCCGGGAAGTCCCTGAGACAAGAGAGCCTGAGGTTTGCACAGCTGGAGGCCCTGGGGAAGGGCCTGGGAGCAGCTGGACCCCATCTGAAACGGACCCCATCTGGAAGCAGAGCCCCCTCTGGGGCTCAGTGAAAGGAAAGGAGACAGGAAGTGGTTGATCTGCTTGTTCTCGGGAGCTGCAAGGAAAGAGTGCTCACTTTCCCTGCAGACCAAAGATCTGGCATTTCTCAGTGTGCGCCTCTGGGGCCTTCTGTATCACATTCACCTGGCACGTTGGAAAAGGGGATTCTGGGGTCACAAGCATAAGAAACCCAAATCCCTATGGGGGGAGACAAAGCTCTGCATATTTAGTCAGGCTCATCAGAGGGTTCTGATACCCACCAAGATTTAAGAATCAAAAAGCTCAGTTCTATTCAGTTATTTCTTACTCATTTTGGCCATTTTCCCCATCTGTGAGCCTTAACCCTGGGAGGGAACTCTTAGTGTCTGTGGTGTGTCCCTCGCTCTGTGGTATGTCTCCACCATGTCAGGTGGATCTACTCATTTTACTTCCTCACAGCATCCTAAGAAAGTAGGTAGTATTATTAGCCTCATCTTCCATATAAGAGAATTGAGGCACAGGGAGGCTAAGAAACTTTAAAAAGTCACAAGGTAAGCGGCGGGGCCAGAAGAGGGACCCACGAGGTCTGACTCCCAAACCTGAGTTCTTCATCCCTAAGGCACACAAATATTGCGGGAGGTTCTATTTATTGAAGCCCCACTTGGTATCACACCCTGTACCCAGGCACTTCAGGCAGTCAATAAACATTAACGGAATACCTACTATGTGCCAGTAGCTGCCAGGAGCAAGATGAGATAATGTTGGGCACAAAAATTGAGAGGCACCTAAAAATTTAGTGATCAACATAAACAATTCTGTCATGAAATATTAGAATTAGCAAGCCCCTGGGTTGGCCATCTGCTGTTGTCAATAAAGTTTTATTAGAGGGCGAACAAAACACTCAAAACCCACACCCTGCTGGAGCCCACAAGGACAACATCATCCCATCCTTTCCATCCGTGGCCCCAGGTGTGAATGTCCTTACAAGTGTCATTTCACATAAGCCACTCCCCCTGCAGGCAGCTAATGATCCTGCAGGCTGACAATATGCTAGGCACTATTTTCATTGGCCTTGCCAATAACCCTCTATTCCTCATAACTTCCCGATAAGAAAAGGGTCAATTCTTTCCCCATTGTACAAATGATGAGACCACAGCACAGAAAAGCATTTAATTTGTCCAAGATCAACACAAACAGTAAAGGGGAGAACCAGGGTTTGAACCCAGGTAGCCATACCCCTGAGAGCACACAACCCAAAGGCCCAATCTGGCCAACCCTGGCCCACCCATCTTTATAAATAGAGTCACTAGCCCACAGTGACACTGATTCGTTTGTCTACTTTCACACCACAATGACAGTGTAGAAAACTGTGACAGAGACCACATAGGCTGCAGAGCTGAAAATATTTGCTGTCCTCTCCTTTACAGAAAAATTTGCTGACCCTGCCTCTCACCACTGTGGAAAATTCCCATGATCGACTCAGAAGCTCCAAGAGGGAAGTCGCCCCCATAGCCAGACGGAACAGAAGGGACTGGGTTGCAGGTAGGTTTCCAAACACTATGACTTTCGACATTATCTGGCAATGTACCCTAATGCTACCCCAGGGTTTAGCATGCTGCCTATCCCAGGAAGGCGCTTCATAAACACTAGATGGCTGGCTGGCTGGCTGGCTGGCTGGCTGGATGAATCCTAGCCTTTCATATTGTGGGAAGGCTCCAAAGAAACAAGAATGGCCAATTTTTCTGTTGTACCTATTACAAGCCAAATTCTTGGGCCTCGTTGCCATGGTACCTGCCCAGACAGCTTATTTATTTTTTATTTTTTTAATAAATTTTATTTTTATATTCCCCATACAATTGCAACCCCCTTATTTTGACCCCAATCCCTCCCCTCCCTGCCCCCCAGCCCCCATAGAGTGTCTCCAGTTCATAGTTTTTTTGTTGATTTTGATTTTCACTTTCTTATAGTTATTCATTTTCCTGGTCCCTTATTTAAGTTTTCTAGATTCCTGCTATGAGTGAGACCATCCAGTATTTTTCTTTTTCTTTCTGGCTTATTTCGCTGAGCATGACCCCTTCCAGCGCCATCCATGTTGCTGCAAATTGCATGTGTTTATCTTTTTTGAAGGCTGAGTAATATTCCATGGTGTGTATGTACCACATCTTCTTGGTCCAGTCATCTATTTTTGCCCAGACAGTTTAAATTAATTGGTAGATTCAGTGTTCTGAGGACGTCTTGACTTCTTTGCACCATGCATGCCATCCTTCCCAAGCAAGAGTGTCTCAATGGTCTCCATGTACACCTACTAGTTAATTTTAACAACCAGTCTAGACTGCTTTGCCCTTGACTCCAGAGGCCTGGGTCCTTATTTTAGGACCAAGTCTTAATCAAAGGAGTGGGGATTTGGGAGTGAGAGAAACTTTGCTAAATCTCGGCTCCTTCACCACCACCCCGCCTCCGCCCCTGCGAGCTGTGTGACTGTAGGCAGGTTGCTTCAGCTCTCTCAACCTCAGCTTCTAACCTGTGCCGAGCAGTTTAAGCAGGGAAAATATCCCTGAAGAGTTTTCGGGCGCACAGTAGGCCCCAAGGATGGTGATCATTCTTCATTATAAAGATGGAGACAGTTTAGGAGTGCTGTCTGCTCAGAGACCCTGAATCCATTATGCATGTTTTATCTTTGTGCTCCCAGGGTCTTGAATAAACAATGTCTTCATCCAGTTTTTAAAAGACACTAATTCCGCCTCAGAGTAACACCTCCCTCCGCCCTCCCAGCTGAAAGTTGGCCGGCTCCGGGCCTGGCTGCTGGCCTGAATTTCCAAACACTGTTGGTGTAGCATTTCTCAAATGTATCCCATTAACACTGCGAACCTGTCAGCCCTCCCTCCTCTCTGAGCTTGAGTCTGACCATCACAGCGAGAGATGGAGCCAGCGCCGCCAGGCCAGCCTCCTGGACTAGCCTGTGTGAAGCCTGTGTGAAGCGGGGCAGTGCCAGGTCAGCCGGCCTGGGACTGGGGCACCTGGCAGCATTTGCAGGAGGGGTGCAGCCAGGTCAGAAACAGACACAGGCGGTGGGCTCGGAGACCGGGAGAAAGCGCAATGGAATGAGGGTCTGGGGGAAGTGCGAGCAAAGTGCATTCCCGGGGTTGCCACTTGGGGGGAACCAACAAGACCAGGAAGGAGGCTGAGCAAAAAACCACTGCTCCAAGATGAAAATGCAGGCATTGTGCAAAAATGAAAAATGATGGAAAAAATGTATAAAATTAAAAAATAAAAAAATAAAAAATAAAAAAACAAAAACAAAAACAAAAAGCCACTGCTCTGGGAATCAGGAAACAGATGTGCCTCTCCCTGCTTAAACTGCACGGCACAGGTTAGAAGCTGAGGCTGAGAGAGCTGAAGGAACCTGCTTAGGGTCACACAGCTCATGGGGTGGGTGGGGGGAAGGAGCCGAGATTTAGCAAAGTTTCTCTAACTCCCAACTCACTGGCTGTGTGTCCCTGAGCAAGGCGCTTGCCCTCTCTGTGGCACATTTACTGGATGAATGTGTAGCCGGGCCATGTGTTTTTCAACTCTTACTTGGCATCAGAGTTCTTTTTCAAACAAACTTCAAATTTTAATATATAAAATAATGAAAATAGAACAGACTCTTTGGGTGAAGGTGGCGGGGTGGGCGGGTGGGGAGAGGGAGCTGGAATCCTGCCCACTATGCCCCTAAACATCTGAAAGAGGGGCTCCCTGGTGGCACGAGAGGTTAAGCACCGCACTATGAAGCAATCCGCAGCCTCTGCAGCACGAGTTCGATCCCCGGCCGGCCAGGGAGCTACCCACATGGCGCAGCAGACCTCTTCTGTCTTCACCCGCTGCTCCCCTCAGCAGTGTATTTCAGTCAGTCTGCCTGTTCTGCTCCCCACTCTGTCTCTGATGGATCCTCTCACCCCCCACATCTCTGGCCTGTACCCCAGGTCTTGACCTGGGACAACTTAACTAATCTCTCTGTGCCACAGATGCTTCAACTGGAAAACCGTTTAGAGGACTAAAGGAATGAACCTGATTAAAAAGTGCCTAGAACAGTGGCAGGCACACAGAAAGCAATTCATGCTAATCATTTCCTTCAATCAAAAAATTTTGATTTCCCCTTTGTTAACATGACTATGATTTCCGAGTTCAGCTTCACAGTTCCACACGAGCACATGAGTCACTCACCCACACTGACCAAAGCTCCGGTTTTATGAGCCATTTCTATCATGACGACATCCATTATTGTATCTCATCTTGAAGCACCGCTGCTTCACAGCACAGTTGAGGCAACCAGGGCTCAGAGAGGTGGAGTGAGCAATGCCAGGTCACACAGCAAAGAAATGACAGATGGAAGACCTGCATCCAGATGTGTGTGACTGCACAGTCTGTGGCCTTAACCACTCAGGAAACTACTTTGCTCTTGACCCCAGAGGTCAGGGTCTTGTCCCAGTAATTTGCCTAAGGAATTCCATGCCTCCATGGAAGGGTAGTTAATGATGATGGCAGTGATTTATGCTTATGAGAGTCTGGTCAGCAGGGTCTGGAGTCTGGGTATCTTAGGGAATACAGATCCTAAGTAGAGAGGAAGTGTTTGGTCACCAGCCCAGGGCTATCTAACAATCTCTTCCAAGCCACATCTCCAGTCTTTCCCACCAACCTATAAGAAAATGTTGTGCAAATGGCAGAGCCCTGTGCCAGCAGGCAGGTGAGCAGAGAACTGACTGATTTCAACTTCAACACCATCCCACTCCTGCAAGGCACCATATACCTTTGCAGAGTATACAACTCGTCCATCCTTACATGACGACCCTGACTCTTCTGTCTCAGCATTTGGAGGGAGAAGTAGAGGGAGAGGAAAAAGTTGGGGAAGATGAGAGACAAAGGGTCAGCCCCACTGCACGTGGAAGTGAGTGCTGGGTGCAGGGAAGGAACAGGAGGCCCTGCAGTCAGGAGGTTCTGGTGGCCGCCCAAAGCCAATGCAAACCACACAGTCACTTTATTTCTTTATGCTTCTTTCTCTCCGCTCGGAGGGCGGTAATAAAAGATGGCTGTATGGCTCTCCCTGGGGAGCTGAACGGGAGCCAAGCCTTCATATGGTGAACAAATGCTGCCTTCGCCCAACTGCAGAGCTGCTGCTGCCTGTCATTAAAATGGCAACAACCTCTCCCCTGACCCCTGACCCCTTGAAATGGGCAGCCACCAGCCCACCCACCTGGAAAGCCCCAGTGCCCTGCTGCCAACAGTGTCCCAAACACCAGCTCCAGCAGGAAGAGAAAGCAGGGGGCGTGGCTGAGCTGTAAGAACCCTGCCTTTAAATTCAATTAGAACTGGGTTCAGACACCGGCTCCACTCCTCAGGAGCTATGGGGCTTTGGGGAAGGTACTGAGCCTCACTGTCCCAAAGCTTGTCACCTGCCTGTGCTGGGAGGGTGTAAGGATTAGCGATAATAAATGCAAAGCGCCCAGCACAGAGCCTGAGTCACACTGGGTACTGATACTAGCTATTGGTTTAAGTCCCTGCACTTGCTCAGTGAGAGTGGATGGTCAGGCTGCTGGGAATCGGGCCTGGTGAACATCCCTTGGGGTATCAATGTTTTCCCAGAGGAGGCACTTGAACTGGGCAATCTGAAGATGAGCAGGAGTTTCCAGGGTGGAAAGGGAGGGAGAGGTTTCCAGGCAGGTAGCATGGAATAGGTGAAGACCTGGGATTGAAAAACGGAGGAATGTAGATGAGGCAGCTGCAGAGAAGCAAGGAAGGAGAAGGCTGGTCGGGGGGCGGGGGCAGACTAACCAAGATTTTGGTCCCTTGCCTAAGAGTACAAGGTGGGGACGAAGGGTTTTAACCGCCAGAATGATATGATCAAATTGGTTTTTAGAGCTCACACAAAAAGGAGCACATACTATAGATATATGATTCCGACTAAAAGACATTCCAGAAAAGGCAAAACTACAGAGATCAGCGGCTGTCAGGGTTGGGGGTGAGGAGGGATGAACAGGAGGAGCACAAGGATTTGTAGGGCAGTGGAACTAGTGTGTAGGATACCATACGGTGGAGTTAGGTCATTCTACATTTGCCAACACCCATAGAAAAGGCAACACCAAGCATGAGCCCTAATGGAAACCATGTTCCTTGCAGGAGAAATGATGCATCCATGTAAATCCATCAGTTGGCACCCATGTGCCCCCCAGGTGGGGGGTGCAGAGGGTGGGGGAGCTGCTCATGTATGGGGACAAACTTCAAAGGGAATCTACAGATGAAGTTCTGAGTGAATGAGGAAATAGGTCATACCAGGATGGGGCAGGAGGGCGGCACAAAGACTAGCCACGATCAAGGACCCCACCAAGAGAGGCGCTGGGGCACTGAGTCAAGAGTGTGGGTTAGGAACAAGCCTGTCTGGGTTAGCTGCTCAGTGCTCCAGCCTGTAAGCTGCTCTCCTCACTGGCTCCTCTCTCTCCCTCCTCCAGGACTTTGAGGGCCTCTTCCCACACTAGGCAACCTGGTGGAGTGACAAGAGCCCAGAACAGGGATGGAGTGACCTGTTTCCAGGCTGTCTCTTCACTTAACTGTTGCCATCTGGTTCCCGAGGACTTGTGACCTGCCCGTTTGTGACTTTCAAACATTGCCATGAAGGTGAATGATCTAGGAACTCAACCCACTACTTACTAAAATGCAGATGCGTAGTCCCCATCACCAGAAAGTCTGATTCCTGCATGGGGCCCAGGAATCTGCATGTTGTCAAGCTCTGCCTATGGGACATCAAGGCTAGGGGTCCGCCAGAGACACCACTTTGAAAACCACTGCACAACTGTCCTGCGCGGGAGAGCAGCTGGCAGACTCTTCGGATGAGCTTGTCTGGGGAGCCCGGGAGGGAAGCAGGGACAAACCCAGAGGGTAGTGGGAGGGTGAAGAAAGGCTGGGGAGCACCTGCTGGGTTTCAGCCTCTCGCACATTCTTCCTCTTTGGGGTGTCAAATACTCTCTCCAAATGCCACAGGGACCTGCCCCAGCCCTGCCCTGGGGCCATGACTTCATTTTCCAATGGACCCAGGAATCAGGAGGAGAGGTTGCTTGTGCTGTCACACAAACAGCAAGTGGGGAGTCAGGACTCCCCCCAGGCATGCCTGCCACTGAGGCTAGAGTTGCCCTCAGGGTCAAGCTGGGCTGAGTAGCCGGAAGGAAGGCGTGATATCAGCCAGGAGTGTGAGCCCGCAGCCCCTGCTCGCCAGCCTGTGACCTCGGAGTAGGCATTACTCTTCTCCCAAAGACTCCATTTCTTTCAAAAGCGGATGAAATGACCTGTCACCAAGGAGTCCGGACACCCAGGGTCCTTTTAGGAAAAGGTGACTTCCTCTAAATTAGTACGGGGTTAGGACACAGGATGCCCACACCAAGTGGGTGAGGTGCCCACCAGGTCATTTCCTTCCCAGTGGACGGGGTCGGGTTCGTGGCTGGCCCCCTGGAAGACCGGGAGGGACCCGTGGAGGAGTCCTGCTTGTGGGAGGGTTCGAGGCGGGCAGGGGCTCCCTGCTGCCTCCCGGGTCTTTCCCATGCCCAGTTTCTATGATTCTGGGAATCAGGAGCCATGCTGTCTTTCTCCTTCAGACGCGGCTCCCTCTCCTGGGGGAGTTGGCAGATCCGCGCTGCACTGTTGGCTGGAGACGCATGGGTAGCGGAGCCTGGCATTTCTTTACAGACTCTCACTGTCTCTTTCTTGCGCTGCTTTCTTCCCTTTCCCACGCCCCACCTCTGCAAGTCCCCAGGGATCCTGCTTTCTCCTGCAGTCCTGAGGCCAAAGGCCCTGGGCGAAGAGATAGATCGGGCCTGCCCCCTCCCAGAGGCGCTGCTGGGACCCTCAATGCCTCATTGTCCCTGGCCTCCCAGACCCCATCCCCTCCCAGGGAGAGAAGGCCGTGGGCAGCGTGCTGGTCAGCAAGGCCGCGCCTGTGCGAGCCGGGGCTGGAGTCCTCTCTGTCCCGAGCTTTTACTGTGCAACATCGTGGGATGCTTATTCATTCCAAGAGTCGGCTGGCCCTGAATGCTTTCAGCAAAGATTTAGGCACCGTGCCAGCTGCTAGGGTGCAGCTTGGAAAAACAGTGCTTAACCTGATCGTCAGGGAAGGTCCATTCCTGCGGGAGACATGGGAAGTAAATAATGATTTGGGCTAAGGGCTGGTTCATTTCATTTGTTGAATGGTTACAGAGAACCTGATCTGTGACAGGCACTGTTCAAGGGGCTGGGGCCCTGCCTACATGGTCCTCTGCTCTAGAAAATACTACAATATGATCCAAATGATAATGGATCATATGTTTGCATTGTATGTTCTTTATATTATGCTATTTTATATTATTTATCATATCCTATAACATTGATGTATCTATTATCTGTCAAACTATCATTTCAGGCAGTGGTAAATGCTTGGAAAAATGCATAACTAATAAATAAAACAAAAGTGCTTAGACTAGAAGATCAAATGAATGATTACCAGAAGGGAACAGGGAAGATATGGGGGAAGGGAAGCTGGGTAAAAGGGGACAAGTGTATGATGAAGAACAGAATTGACTTTCTGTGGTGAATATAACGCAGATCTTGTTTTATAATGATGCACACCAAAAACCTATATAACTGGGCCTCCCCAGTGGTGCAGCAGTTGAGCGCTGGGTTGCGAAGCTGTCCGCAGCCTCTGCAGCGCCGGTTCGATCCCCGACCGCCAGGCAAGGGTCCCACATGGCACGCAGACCTCTCCTGCCGCACCCGCTGCTCCCCTCAGCAGTGTACTTCGTCAGTCTGCCTGCTCTGCTCCCTGCTCTGGCTCTGGTGAATTCTCTCACCCTCCCACGCTTCTGACTGTACTCAGTGCTTGTATAAATAAATAATAAATAAATCTTTGGAAAAAAAAACTATATAATACTGTAACAGTAAAACCTTTCTAGCATTACTTCAATCAAAATAAAAAATAAATAAAATAGCCCTCCACCCACCCATGAAGAGTCAGACCTCAAACTGGAGATAAAATGGTCAGGCAAGGTTATTCTGAGGAGGTGGCATTTGGCCAGAAAGGTGACAGGAACTGAGAGGTCCCCCCACGAATGGTGAAAACAAGAGCCCCGGTAGACACCCACCTGGGGTCTAGCAGGTAGAGGGCCAGGCTGGGACATGCCAGCAGTCAGTTTTGCCTCCACAGGTGGACTCCGGGCCTCGGAGCCACACCACCTCCCGGCAAGCTCTAGACGCCTTGGGCACAGAGGCCGGGATTCAGGCTTGGGAGAAGCATCAGAGAAGGGGATATGGAAGCCCAGTTCCGGGCACGTGAGGAAGGCGCCAGGCCAAGGAGGTGCTGTCTCTCCTCTTTGCCTCTTCCGGCCGCCAAGCTGCCCCTCACCTGTGCCCTGCCTCGCAGGGAGGGGGCGCTCCTCCCATGTCCCTTTACTCTGCTCAGGTCACCTCCTCGGAGAAGCCTCTTCTTGCTCACCCTACTTCAAATACCAGTTGCTGTCTATCTTTTCTTTGGCTTCAACCATCTTACTAGAATACATATTATTTATTCCCCAGTTTGCCGTCCGCTTGCGGCAAGTTCATCTCCGCTCCACATAAGCTATTGTCTATTTTGGTCACTGCTGTATTCACTGTGCCTGGCACATCTTTCATGAATGAAATAAAGTTGGGAGAGCTCAGAGGGTGTGAGGCCACTGAGGAGAGCTAATGGCAGCATGTTTCCAAACAGACGCAGGCCCAGGGGCGTGAGAGCAGAGGCTGCTTTGGCAAGGGTTGCTGCGGCAGGCCGGGCACCTGACTTTGCTTGATAACGATCTGCTGGCTGGAAGAATATCTGGAATTTGAAATCCCAAGTTCAGGAAGCTCAGAAGACTCTGAGCAATAATGTGTGAAAGAAAAGGTAAAGGGAGGTTATTTTAGAATGCTCTTTGATGGGATATTTGCAAGCTCCTGGGCTAGAGACCCACGAAAGTGGAGAGCCGAATTCCAGCTCGGGAGCTCATGGGCCAGGATTTGGACCAGTCTCCCTCCTCCCTGCCTTATGGGCCACAACTTATCTGTCTGCAGAACGGAGACGCACAGAAAAGCCTCAGGGATTCTTCTAACTCTGGACCTCTAGGATTTTATAAGACATCCTCTCCTTGGGGACAGGCCTATGCACCTCTGCCTTGCTCGAAACATCCTCTCTGGAAACAGTAAGCCTGGGGTGGGTATAGGGGAAATTTTGGAGTCTTTGATGCCTTTCTTTAAGGTTTTGTGTTACTTCTGCTTTCTGGCTCCCTCTCATCCAACTTCTCTGAGGTCTGACCTTCTAATGAGCGGATGCACATCATCAGCCACTGTGGTTTGAACGGGTGCCTGTAATTTAGTGTTGCCTAATGCTGGAAAGAGAGAGCAGCCCTGCCTAATTAGGCTGGGACCTCATTAACGTCTGCCTCCTTGGGTGTTTTTCATTCTTGGGTTCTCCTGGGCCGCATTTTGAGTCCATCTGTCTGTATAGACCCTGCTGCCTTTGTTACCGCCCTGTGGCGGAGCTGGGCATGAACAGGGTCCCAGAATGGCCAGGGCCATCCACGGACCGTGAATCTCAGCATGCCCTGGAATGGCCCCTGCTCTGATCCTAAAGAGAATGTGCAACATTCCCGAGAACCTGGATGTCTGGGTCATTCTTAAGCACTTTGGGTTGGCCAGCAGAGCCGGACGGGTCTGGAGGTTTGACAGAAACCAGAGTAAGGGACGCTATCAATTTAATTGCCACAAATTACCGATAATTTAACCAACTTGCATGTAATACTTTGCCATTTACAAAGTGCTACTAGAAAATGACCTTGAGCAGAGACTTGGTCTGTTTTGATCACTGATGATTTCCTAAAAGTTATCCCTTTAACACTGTGATGCTCTGCCCTACTCTCCCGTCTCATGAGCCCCAGAGGTTGACCTTGATGGACCACATTGGGCTCTGCTTGGCCTCAGTGTGACCCCAGCAGGAGACTAGAGGACCGAGGCACCAGGAGTAGTGGCGCTTCTCCCAAACCCCACTGTCCCAGTGCCCTGGTTTGAAGCGAGCAGAGTTCCTCTGCAGATAATACTTCAGTTGAGCGGCTCTCCACCCCAATCCACATGAAACCTACTTGATTAAATCCAGTCATTCTACTTCCTCTCCTGGGATGATAATGGCTTCCTGCTGTTGCTAGATTCTGGAAGCCCCTGTCTCCCCCACACCCTCCTCTGTAAGTGGTTCCTTCGTTAAAATCTCTTTATTTAAGCCATTTGGGAGTGGTGCTGTTTTCTGCCTCGTCCCTGTCTGATATAATTCCCAATATCTGGAATAGAGCCTGGACATAAGAAACCCTTAATCAATTTTTATGGAATGAATGAACAAAATTTCCACATACATCATTTCATCGAATGCTTACAAAATTATGTAAAATAATACTACTGCCTATTACAGGTAAAGAAATGAGGGTTCATAAAGCAATACAGTCTTGGGTCTAAGAAATAGATTTCTAAGAGTTACACTCCTAGCTGTATCCTGGATGAGCTCACTGTTTTGCTGCTTTCTGTACAGACTCAGATTCCACTCATGCTAGCCTGGGGTGGGCTCAGCAGGACCAGACACTGTGGAGTGGTCAGGGATTTTGCAAATAAGAGAATAACAAAATCTCAGGATCTAAAGATATCTGGAAATTCACTGGCCATAAAATCTGAGACCTGGATTCAAATCCACGTGCTGGTGCTTTTCCCCCCCAGCTTTAGTGAGGCATATTTGACAAAATTTATGTTATTTTAAGGTGTACATTGTGATATTTTGATATACATAGACATCATGATGTGATTACATCATCAAATTAATTAACATGTCTATCACCTCACATAGTTAACCATTTTTTTTTTCATGTTAAGAACATGAGGGCTA